GCGAGGACAGAAAAGAGGTAAAATGCCTACCACAAGAGAACAGGTCCATCACAACCTCATTACATAAAATATACTTCTAACCCATTAATTAACTCTACACACATACATAATTCTTTTTGTGTTTGGAGGATTATAAATGTTATGAGTCGACACAACAGACTCTTGGCGAATAAGTCTAGCTCTATGTCTACCTCTTTTGATGTTGACTTATGTCCCACAGGGGATAAAGAGAATTAAGAAGTAAGTATGTTGGTGAACATGATGATGGTTACCACTTCTGGCCGCCAGCTTGTTGGTCGTTACATAACAGACAACTAGCTATCGTATATATCAGCCAATGTCATGAAGTGTCAGTCAACATGTTGATGAAGAGATATTTTAACAGACACTCAAGTGACTCAACTGGATCCTAAGTTATGTAATCAGTTTGCCTGGGATCATCCCAGGCAAACTGATTGCATACGTAGGACATAATTACACTCTCGCTTACATGTACAATCTGAAAACTTGAGCAGAGTTAGAATTATTTTTCCCTCCATAATTATTGATCAGAGCAGTTGTGAAAGAAACAATATAAAATCAATGATGCTATGGATTGGATAGAGACATTCAACGGACTGGATAGCTTGAAAGTGAGTTTAAATAACTTACTAAATGATGAACTTACCACTAAATCGAAGTTTTCCAGAAAGTACTTGACCTGAAGATATTCATTTGACANAGAGATATTTTAACAGACACTCAAGTGATTCAACTGGATCATAAGTTATACAATCAGTTTGCCTGGGATGATCCCAGGCAAACTGATTGCATAACGTAGGATATAATTACACTCTCGCTTACATGTACAATCTGCAAACTTGAGCAGAGTTAGAATTATTTTTCCCTCCATAATTACTGATCAGAGCAATTGTGAAAGAAACAATATAAAATCAATGATGCTATGGATTGGATAGAGACATTCAACTGACTGGATAGCTTGAAAGTGAGTTTAAATAACTTGCTAAATGATGAACTTACCACTAAATCGAAGTTTTCCAGAAAGTACTTGACCTGAAGATATTCATTTGACAGTGGTTCCTTGGCCCTTGAAAAGACGCATGGTTCTTCGAGTATATCACCTAAACCATCCACGGCCTCAATT